TAATTATTATAATTATAATTTTATATATATAAATCTTATATGAACATTAATTAAAAGTTGTATTAGTAAAATATATATAATATATTTAATATAATTAAAACATATAATTGTATTTATTAAACATAAAATATATAAATATAATATAAATATGTAAATATTTNTTATATTTGCTAAAGAATATCAATACTAATTTAAGATATTTAATTAAAATATGATTCTGTAATTTTCTAAAACGCATTTTGTAAAAAGAAAAAGAGTAATTATGGTTTTTATTTTTAAAATAATGAATTTTATATATTGAAATTTCTTATATTTATAATAAATTCTTATACTTTATCTTTTTAAATATAAATATTAAAATATTTAATAGAAAAGAAATATTTAAATAATCAAATCATCGAAATATTCGATTGATTTTGAAGTACTTAAATTTTTTTCTATTATAATTAATTTTAAATTACGATTTTTTATGCACAGTAAAATAACCATTTTATTTAAAAAAAAAAAAACAAAATTAATTTTAATATCTTTTTTATTTCTACTTTGAATATTTTGCCCCAATTATATTTTAGACAAATATTAATAATAAAACATTAATAATTAGTCAATAAATTAAAAATAAAACCATGTAATTTTTTTATAATCATATACATAATCATATTTAATATTTTCTATTTTAAAACTTGGTACAAACTTCCAAATATAGCAGATAGAAATATTTCACAGAAATCAAATATTTATATTAAAATAAATTAATATTTATATGTTGATCTATATGAATATTTATATGGTTATGTTTGTTTTATATACAAGGTATGTTGTATATAACTACAAGTTTATACCTATCAAAATTAATATACATGATTGCCACTGAATGTTTTGTAAAAATTTATATATATAAAATACGTATAATAATATAAGATAATTTATAAGATAAACTGATGTTATAAATTATACATAAATTTTTATATGCATATCATACAATTTAAAAAAATATATTATTTTATAATATTTTTATGAACAAAATATATTGCTATGAATATAAATATTATAATAAAATGCATATATATAAAATTTTATGTATATCAGTATAATAATTATAATAATATTTTTATGGAATGTATTATATATTAATATTAATAAAATTTGTAAAGTAATTTTTAAAGTAAAATTACATTATTGAAATAGTTATTTTAATAACTAAATAATTAATTAATATATATACATATATATACTTTTATATACATGTAATATAATTAAACATATTTCTAATTATG